GTCCTAAATGGCTTGTTGGAGCTCCTGCCCCCCCCTCCCTGTGAGCCCAGTGTGCTCTGATTGGTCGGGACGTTGCAAGGCTCGCTCCTCAGTGAGCTGGCCTACTGGTGTTGTTTCCGGGTCGGCGAAACAGCGAGACAGCGCAAAACTCATCCTGAGCACACACACACACTCACAGCCGAAGAAAAAACAATAAGTGTGGCTTGATATTGAGTAAGAAAAAGGTTTATAACGCTGTGAGAATGGGTCTGCGGAGAGCATTTCTCCGCGATCCCAACTCGTCTATTACCAGCGTTCAGGGAGCTCTATGCAAGTCAATGGGACTCCCTGTTGGTTGAAAATGTACGCTAAAGGTCCCCCCACTGCGTTTGATAGTGACGCAAAGGGATCCTGGTGTGTGAGGAGCTCCGCGGATTGCTCCATTTTGGTTCCGGAAACCGCATGACGTCATGCGGTTCCCGGAAGAAACAAATGGAAAAAGAGAAATCTCCAACGAGGCGTTCTGGGGCAGCATATAGACAGTTTTTTTCTGTGTTAGAGTTTTACTCGCTACAGGGTGTACTTTGAGGGTTTGTGACTCTGCAGACCGTTTACATGCAGAAAAAGCTTCATAACACACAAGGGGACGGGTAATAACCAGAAAAGCATGACATGGGACCTTTAAATCACCATAAACAATCCACTTTAGTAGTTTTTAGGGATAGTGGTCAAGGAAAGAAGACCACTTCTTAACAGTGCATAACTCAATTATTGTATCCAATTGAAAAATGGTCATGAGCAGTGCTTTTCAATAACATTTCTAATGGAATTAAGTAAATAAGTCAAATTGTCCTTAATTTCCAGGCCTCCACGACAACCCCTGGTTATGCGACTGCCAAATCTCCATGGTGATGTCATTGTCCATGTCCATGGGGAGTCCTATAGTTCTCATGGACCAGCTGCTGATATGCCGCCGGTCTCTGGAACAGACTGGGATTCTGATGACCGAGGCTGATCTGTCCCTCTGTATGAGGCCTTCAGTGCAGCCTGCAGCCACCAGAGTCATCTCTCCACTGGGCAGCAACGTAATCCTCCGCTGTGACGCCACCGGGTACCCAACACCGACCCTGATATGGATCAAAACCACAGCCTATACTGGTAAGCAATCCAGGGTCAAGCTCCGGTGAATAAGTGATGTAACTAACATCTGAGCATTAGTTAAGTCATGTTATCATTTGGTTCACTTCTGTGCAGATTGTTGCCGACAAGAAATCCCTGAGGACACTGACCAGCTACCCAGGAATTTAGAAAGTTGTAAGTGATGCTATCTTGTTAAAACGTTTGCATTGGTTTCTGGTCTCTTAAAGCTAAGATTGTGCATCTCGTTATGTTCCAGTTATGCAGGAATCTCCTCGAGTTGGAGTTCGCTGGTCCATAATCACCCTGAACGGGTTATCGTACAAGGATGCTGGTGAGTATCGTTGCCAGGCACGGAACATGGCAGGAATATCTGAAGCCCCAATTAAACTGAAGGTGGTGGGAGTCTCAACACTATCTCGTCTTCCAAAAAAGAAGAAGAAGAAGAAGAAGTCCCGAAAGATTTCAACCAACTCATCATTAAATAACAGGAAGACAAACCTGAATACCATTCAAACCAACCCCCCTTCGGTGAAGGAGAATCAGATACTCGAAAACATTACGGCCCCTTCCATTAACAAGACCCGGATGGCTCCTACTCTTTCGCCCAAAGTGTACGAACACATTAAAAGGCGCAAAATGAACTTAACAGATGCAAAAACCTCAACATTTGTTAAGTCTCCAAATAAGCCCCCGAAGAACTCTACAACTGTTCTGTTGTCAAAAACAGTTGTATGAGAAACACTGAAGAAGGTCTGGGTCTGTTACTTGGTTGACTTTTAAAGTGGAGTTGATGGGAAAAGTAATGAAGGAAACATTTTTGTGAACCTTTAGTTGCGGTGTACCATTTCTTTTTTTGTTGTTGATAATTTTGAACTGCAAAAATAATGGACAGTTTTGTTCATGAGATATTCTAAAAATGTAAAAAAAAAATTCAATGATCACAGCTTCCCCAGAAAGATAAAGGAACTGCGGTATTATTGTCAGTGTGAGACAGTAGAGTAGAGCTGGTGTTCTCCAGGAATGACACTCCATGGGCACTAATCATTCAGAGGGATATGGGAAATATAAGAGAAACAATAAAAAAAAAATTGCTTTCCAGCTAGCCTCATTCGTACTTTATGTTTACTGCTAAAAAGGAAATGCTAGCATGATAAACTAAGACGATCAACTCAGAAAAAAGTACACTTGCTAATCAACATGTTAGCATTGTCATAGCGAGCATGTTAGCTATGATATTAGCAATAAGCTCCAAGCATCACTGTGCATTAGCAGCCATACACAACTTGTGGAAACAACACCAAAAAAGGATTCAGAGGTCAGTTGGAACAAACAGCCTAGAACCAGGGGCACGTGGCTTGCTGGATTTCAAAGTAACAAAACACATGTGAAAAGTGCAGTAATTAAAACAAGGGCCCTTTCTTATTTCATCAAATCCCCCTCCTCGACTCCTCGGTCCTCCGGTAGTGACCCGGAAATGAATTTCAGCGCGCCATGTTGAAGGAAATCTAATTTCTCTAAATGCACTTCGAGGACCGAGGATCGAGCGTCGAGGAGGCTCTCTGGCGGAGCTATAACCGAGGATACACTGATGGGTCCTTCGCGGCTCCTTCGCGGATGCATTTCCGGGAACGTTGGGTATAAAATAGGCGTGACACACCGCTGTACGTTGCATTAGTTATTTAAGAAGTGAAATGCGCGATCCAACTCCGCCCGTCTCTATGCAATTAGAGCCCTCTAACCGCATTCCTTATTGACATTTCACCTGATATTCTTTATGTTTTTATCCACATTGCCAGGCCACAGTGGAGGATGAGGAGGCCACAGAGTCTGGCTCGGACAGCCAGGAGTGTGTTGAGCCATCCACCTCTGCCGGTCCCCCTCCTCGAAAAAAAAGAAAAAGCGCTTTGCTACAGCTCCTGGAGGCAGAGGCGGACAAGGAGGAGGACCGCTTCAACCGCCAGCAGGCAGCCTCGGAGGAAGCCTCCGCCAAATTCCTCAAGCTCTTCGAGGAACTAGTTAGGAAGGAATAGTGTCTTTTTTTTCTTCTTTTTTCTATACTTTGGATGTGTTCATTTATCCTTTATTTATATATGTTACAACATTTAGTAAACATATTTAAGTTTGACCTTAATTCTTGTGTGGTGTGTTCATATTTCTGTTATACAGCCAGTGTTCGTGGGTCTGGTGGACCCGAACACCCTGTATGTAATATAAATGTGTAGGGGGGGGGGGGGTACAGTGGGTGGTCACTGAAAATGTGTTCTGATATCTGTTCTTCACTGAAAATTCAATTCAAATCCTTTATTTATCCAGGTGAAATCCCATTGAGATCATCTTTTTCAAGGGAGACATAAGGCCATTGAGTGAGTTAGAGAAAATAAAGTATCAATTTTCTTTAGAAAAATAATAAACGGGTCCCACAGACCCGAACACCATACAAGGGTTACATCAAGCATGAAGCCTTCTTTACAGTTAGACATACAGAAACACACATGTTTACTGAAGATACAAGGAGATCTTTATTTTATACAAAGCTGAATATACATTTTATGATTGTGACCTGATTGAAAAGCCAACGTTTTTAAAGTCTTTTTGCAACCCAAGGCATAACTGTCTATAGTCATACAGAAAGTCATGGCCACTGATTTCCGCTTTTTAAATCTCCACCTCAAATAATTCTGCGCATAAACCAACCGTGTGTAAAGTATCCAAATGCAATATCAGGGGTGTTTTATTATCAATAATATATACATTAACATTGAGGCAAGTTACTGCATGTAGC